CCCCCCCCCCTTCTGTCTTTCTCTGTGCGTTTTACTCTGCTCTTTTCCCCTTTCCTTGATTACCTTATCGCGGGAGTTTTCCTTATGCAACGGGACAATTTATCGTCGTCAATTGTCAGTGTACAGCGATGTTCACTACAGACGTAATAATGAGCTCAAAACTGCGACAGATATCGCGGCGCGGTTCATGTATGGAGTGTGGTACGGACACGCCTGACAGACTGAGAATCGCTTCGGCATCTCAAAACCACCAGGCTCGAGGACGTGTCCAACCGCTCGAAGGACACCCTTCCGTCCGTTCCCTTCGTCCGCCGCGGGCCCTGCTTGAGTCCGTTTACTGCTGTTTGCGTGTAAATGACCCGCCGCCCGAACATGTTACCGTTATCGGCCCGAGACTGAGGCCGCCGACCACCACGACGTCGGTGGTAGCTTGCATCCTGCGCGGCGGCACTGGCCAGAGGCAGAGTGACTCCGAAAAACTGCAAACTGCCTTATGGTTTTCCCAGTTATGGGATTTGAGAAGCAGTGCTGTAAAATCATTGTCTAAAAATACCTGCAATGGATCTTAATAAGCCATAAGACACCGGATGAATGGGTACACTAGCACCGAACTAACAATACAAATTAACAAACTAGTTTTGTTACAATAATATTGGTATCTGATCTTAATTATGAACGCAATTGTACGGTGCTAGCTACGATAATTGTCCTTAGACATTTTAGAGTATATGGTCGGACCTCTCCCAATGACCGAATGGAGCTGTTTTGTTCTCTTTACACTGGACCTCCCCCTCCTCTCCCCTTATATTTCTCCCACCTTAAATTCTGAAAGGCGCTTGGTGGTATCTCTAGGCACCAATGTGACATTGCGCTCTTTTTCAATCTGATATTACCTTTTTCCCTTTGAGCTCAAGCGCCACTTCCGGTGGTGTGTCGAATGACTATGCTTCGCTTGGTTGAACAGAGGCGGCGTTCTGATTCCCTACGGCCATGTCCAGTGCCTCTTCTCTGCGAGAGTCCGGCCCCTGCCACCTGCCGTCGTTGTGCGGATCGATGACGCTGCGTTTCGGAAAATAATGACATTTGATTAAACAAAGTAGTGTAGTGGCCGCCTCCACCTCTAGGGTATAGGAGGCTACTCGTGGTAGAGCAGCAGGTTTGCAGTTGTTGCGTGTCGTGTACATGTTGG